AAGGGTGCCCAGTGATTGCTAATTGACACCAGGCTGTCTGTCCTGGTGAGAAAAATCGGTCTAAACCCAGGAACATAGTTGCAAACTCTATAAACAAACTAAAAACCACTGGACAATACGTGTACTCTAGTTGGGTGAATTATATTATCTGGATTATAATCTCCATAAAGCTCTTACCAAAAATTAGCATGCCTGATGACATTTGCAAGATCTGGTAAGAAGTCTGGGGAAAAATCAGGTGACTGACTCACTCCAGATGCTGAAGGACATGGTCCCTGACAGCCCTGTATCCCCTCCCTGAGCCCACCCTCTCTCATGGCAACCAACAGGCTCATCCTAACACTCCACGCTTCGTCTTCCTGTCTGGAAGAGAAACTGAGGACAGAGACAGTGCCCTGCCATGCAGCTGGGACCCAGGCACCCACCAGGGAACCACCAAGGAGCCGCTGGGATAAGAACTAGCATGGAATGCAAGTGGCTGCAAATGGGTAAGTAAAGCCCCAGGACTGGCCCTGCACAACCCAGAAGCCACGTCCCAGCCTTGCTCCTGAATCTGCTCTCCAATTTGTCCAAGCCCCTGGGCACCAAGCAGCCCCTGAAGCTCATCAAAGCCACATCACCCCAACCTCACCGTTCAGACATCAAGAGGCACGCTGTGTATAACCATCAAGTCTCTTGCTTCAAAGAAAGCCGCCTGTCAGGATTTCTGCGTGGAGCGGCCCCACATACCATCAGCCAGGCTGCTAGAGGGAAGCAAACTTTGGCTCTGTTTAAGCCGTAGCCTGTGGGTCTCCCCCTCAGTCTTGTCTCTACCCTGTTATAAGCTGGGCGTGGAGATGTTGTGTGTTTGGGGGCCAGAGAGCATTTCAATGCTTTAACTGCTGGAGGACTGGTCATGACGTCGTCATCTAAACACTCAAGGAGACTTTCCTACAGAGTCTTTATGACAACTTCATGAATCAATAGTCACAGAATTCAAATGCTACACATTTTGGTCATTTTGAGTGGTTAGAACACAATTATTTTTTTTCCCCCTTTTTTTTTTCCAGTAGTGGGGACAGAATCCAGGGGCACTTTACCACTGAGCTATCCACTACCACTTTTCAAAATTTTAAAACTTTTGAGACAAGGTCTCAATAAATTGCTTAGGCCTTGCTCAAGTTGCACAGACTGGCCTTGAACTTGAGATCCTCCTGCCTCAGCCTCCGGCATCACTGGGAAGATACGTGGTTGCCACTATGTCTGTCTGAAACTGTTACTCTCATTAAGTAAACACTTAAATCACACAAAACTACACTTTCAAAGGAACCAATCATTTACATTTTAAACAGCTGAGGAGCATTTACAATTTTAACCAAGAAATTATTTGCAAGACACTCTAAAGGGTACAGGATCTATCCCCAGACAGCTTAAGTTGCGGTGGCAAGAAAAATTGCCAAGATTAAACATGATTTTCGATTTCTGTAACTTTCTTCCAAATAAGCTGACAACTTAAAAAATGAACCAATATGTATGATGTAAAGCTTGATGATGTAACTATAACCACATGGGCTTGATAACAGTCTTCAACTCTCCACACCATTAAGGGTTGAATATGAAATGATAAATTTTGCAAATCGGGTTTGTTGGAATTTTCAGCCAAACGTCGTATGTGGGTGAACTGTCAATGATGGAAGAGGCAGGGACACAAAAGCCACATACACCTTTGATAAATGAACAGGTCAGGGCAGGTAGCCATGCCACAGAGACGTCCACTCATGGCTCTCCCAGCAAGTTCTCTCCGTTTCTATTTTGATATTCCAGATGACCTTGGGCAGGTTACTTATCCTCTATGGGCCACTTTCCCAGTTTGTAAAGTGGGGATTATACTAATTGACATCTGCCTTCTCAGGAATGCCAGTCTCCGGGACCGTTCCACACAGCACTCAGAGATGCCTGCAAGAAAACCCTCCTCTCCCTACCAACCACCATGGCTGTGATTCACAATCCTTCAGAACACTGAATCTCGGTTTTAAAAAAGCCTCTGTCTGCTTTTCTGAGTTTCCCTGGCCACTGTCAGGCACATGACCAGGAGTTGTCCCCATTCTGCCTGGGGGGCATGTTTATCTGCATTCACACAGACTGGGGCCTGGGAGGTGCTGAGAACCTCCTGCACCTGAAATCCACACCACCTGGGGTGTCACGATGGGTGCTCCTGGTCTCACCCTTTGCTGATGAGTAAGATCTGCTGTTCGCTCAAGGCTGCCTCATCAGAAATGTTACCCTGATCCTCATTTTAAATGTATTTTCAATGTTCTATTTCTAGCAAAATGTTTTTCTCTTAGTATATGTAAGAGATCAAGGGAAATAAGAATTTGTCTCTGAAAGATCCTTGAGCTTAAAGGTAAAATTTACATGAAACTTTAGGCTCAATCTACAAACCCTAACAGACGGAAGGAAGGAAGGAAGGAAGGAAGGAAGGGAGGAAGGGAGGGAGGAAACAAAGTGGCTGGGGGTACGGCTCAGTGGGTTGAGTGCTTGCTTCCCATGCACAATCCCAGCACCACACACACACACACACACACACACACACACACACACACACACAGAAAGAAAACAATTGAAATTTGGGTCAAAATAGAGATGAAATGGAGACTGTAAAAGGAAATAAAAGGAACAGAACACTGATTGTGAATAGGAAAAACGAAGATCACGTGTAAAGGATAAAAACAAACACAATGATCAAAGCAGACGCTGGTGCACATACAGAGGCTGAGGGAAACCTCTCAGGTCCCCAGAGGGCAGGTCAAAGAGAAAGACATGTGGACTCGGTGCTCAGCTTTCCTGCATCCTGAAAAGACTGTCAGGACAGGAGGGGTTTTCAGGATCCAGAAGTTTGACAAGGGGGGTCCTCATTTGCAGGATGCTCCATGCTGTAACAGACTGGGCTCTCAGTGGTAATTAAAGAGAGCACGTGTTTTTAAACATGCAGTTTCTCTCTCAGTCAAGGCTAATGACAAATTCCTAGAAGGTTTTTACTGTTAAATTGTTCCTTGAGCCATGATATATATATATATATATAAGTCTGAACAACACTGTAGATTCGGGGTGCGGGGGTGGGCGGCTCACATCTTCATTTTCAGGTGATGGGGTAAGTGTGGCCTTGGTAAAGACGCCAAGTCAGAAGAACAGTACTCAGGCTCCTGGGGGATGATCGAGACGGGCTGGGGAAGCTCTGGTTGGAGCTGCGTGGATGCGGCAGCTCTGAAGCTCAACTCCATCTTACAGTGACATTTCCAACTTTGTTTAACCACGGTGTTTAGTGTCACCTGTAACTCTGGCCAAGGCACAAGATGAATTAGGCACCTGGCAGGGTTGCACGGGGAGCATCTTGGATTTAATCACTCTGAGAGATCATGGCAACCAGAGACAGCAAACCAGAGCCAGAAGGGCAGGCAGGGCACAGTCCAAATGGCCCCCAAAGCAGAAAACATTTACTAGCTGGTCCTTGGCAGAAAAAGTTTGCAGCTTCCTGATAAGACTACTGGAATCCAGTGTCCCAGCCAAGGGAAGGGCTTTGCCAACAATCTTGTGCAGCTTGATGTGCCCAAAGAATGCCTGAGATCAATTCCTTCTACTGTGCAACATCTTCCTGAAGCAGACATTTGTTCTCGATGCAGGGCGACTGGTACTTCTTGCGAAGTTTTAATTAACCACAGAGCAAAATGCACCAATTCTACATTTTTTTTTTGTCCAATAAGTAAGATTTCAACTATAAAAACAAATGAGCAGGTGTAGTGCACACCTGTATCCCCAGCAATGTGGAGGCAGAGGCAGGAGGATCTCAAGTTCAAAGCCAAGTTCAGCAACTCAATGAGAACCTGCCTCAAAATTAAAAACTAAAAAGGACTGGGGAAATAGCTTAATCGTAGAGTAACGCCCCGAGTTCAATCCCTAGTACCAAGGAAAACGAATTCGCACCCTTTATTCTAGAGCCAAAATCCCTGGCAGAGATTAAAAACATAATGGATCGGACAATTTTCCCATTATGAAAATTCTATGATTAAAACCATGTTCAACTAAAGAGTAAGAAGTCTGCATCTTAAAAATACATATATTTCGTTTAGTAAAACCTGAGCAAGGGTTTGATTCAACCATGCCATCAAATAACCTGTTTTTAACAGACACAGACCTATTAAACCAAATGGAACTTAGGAAAGGCCAACATTCAAAACTGAAACGAAGATGCAGGCGCTTGAAAAACAGCAGACCCTCAACAGCCTGCAAAATGACCCCACAGAAAGTGCTCACTGCCCCTCGCCAAGGGACACTCTAAAACCAGAGACCAGGTAGCAGCCGTGACCATTTTAACCTGAGTACTTTTTTTTAAATCTACCCTCTCAAAAAAGTGAATTTGAGAGAATTAAATGTGGCTTTAATTCATCAAGTGACATTAGCCTCTCTGAAAACTTCTAATTTTGAAATCAGGTTCTCCTTTGATTTTCAAGTGAACAGGGCAGCCTAGCGCCCACCTTCCAGGCACTGCTGCCCCCCACCCATGGCTTGGCAATGCCTGTTGCTAGGGTGCCTGGCTCTTAATTTCTGAAAGAAGGTGATTAGGGAGCAGCGAGATGGACATCTACTGGATGGCAGGACGGCAGCACGGACATTGACATGTGCCACTCTGACCTGCAGTGAGCCGGCGTTGTGCGTCAGCACCACGTGACATGCCTGTTCCTTCCCAACTGGAAACCCACCATGTCTACGGGCAAAGGGAGTCAAGTTCAGCCTCCACCCACTGGAACACTGGATCATGTTTGGGGGAAGGAATATGAATCTATGGATCATTTTTTTTTAAGGTTCTACGATTTCACAAAAGCAAAAAATAAAAAAACCAACAACATGCTGCATACATAATTACACAAATCAACACATGCACCTTCGACAAATAAAGATTGGGAAACAACCTGGAAGGCGACAGGAACTGTTCTGTGAATTCCACTCGTCGCATTTGCATTTACCTTTTTTGGCGTCTGTAAAGCAATCTTCAGTTACAGTCACCTCAAAAGGTCACTTGTCACCCTGAAAACAAGAGAACATCAAGATCTGAATGTCGGGGAAGTGGTCACCAGCGGAGCACAGGACACACGCGCGAGAGGCAAGCAACTTGCAGAGGGATCAGCAGCAAGGCCTGGGATTCCGAGTCTACCTGGACCGCGGGCCTCAAGCGCTTCGAGACCACCGCGTCCGTGTGGGTGGGAAAAGCCCAGGCGAGACACTTCAGATTTGCCTGTGAACTTTTCCTCTTTTTGTCATCTATCAGTTTATTTTTGTGTGGAATAATACATGACTCATAGGTCCTTGCTTTTGGAAACCAGGCGGCTCTTGAACAGAGCTCTGTTTGGTTAACATCACAACATCTCTAATTTCATTAAAGGAGAGACTTGTTTTTTGTTTTTTATTTCATTCCCCTCTTCAGGCAAGAACTCATTCTTGTGGACAAGATGCCTTAGACCACTTTGGACCTTTCAAGATGAATAAGAGCCCAACAGTCCTCGGCGTGGGGAGGGCTGGGGGGAGTTAATGGTGGTGAAAGCTGCTCAGAGAATGTTCTGCACTGCATCTACCAGATCTCCCAGGCTAAATGAAAATGGTTCGTGGCACATGAAATACGCCACTTCCATCAGGCCTCCGAATACACATATCCTACCCCACCCCGCCCCGGCATCTGCCTGCTCCATCCACAGAACAGTGGGTAATCCTTTCAGCAGCAGACTCGGCCTCTTTCTGCCTGTGAAACTGGGACCAACACACACGGCGCGAGGGGAAAGCAAAACATTTGTTTATTCATTCAGATCAAGTTACTAACAGGGTACAGGATTCACTCCGCCGCTGAGGACCAAATGCTCCTATGATTTTTAACACAGAGAAATCAGTCCTTAATGTGATTAGCACGCTCATGTCCCTGCGCTCACTCTTCAGAACAGTACGTAATGAAGTGGTTTCGGTTTTATTTGAATCTATCCCTCTCAGCCCTCTGCCATCAGCCGTCAGCCCCAGTGTGAAAGGCAGCATCGCTAAGAGGAGGAAAAAGCTTCTTTCACCAGGGCTAAAAATTTTTTAAAGTGGCACTTTGGTGTGTGCCATCTTTGAGGAATTGATCTGAGGCCAATTTATGACATTTCCCCAGGCAAGTGTATGCAGATTCTTGCCATTAAGATCGGAAAAAAAGATGCAGGCTCTGGGTGAAATCATCATTCTCGTGTTTATTGTAAGAGGAAATTGGAGGTTTTCACCATAGATGTTCACAATTTGGGTGGGGGAAAACCCTAGTTCAGGGACTTGAAATTACTCTTTTGCAACAACCTGTCCCAAGCCTTTTTTTTTCTTTTGTTTTTACACAAAACAATTCAGATTGAAAATGAAATTTGTGCACTTTACTGCTGATCTACGCCCATAGGATGGGTGTCTCCAGGATAGGGAAGTGCTGTAGGGCAGGCTTTGGGACCTCGAGGTACGCCAGAGGCATGGCTGTGCCCCACCATGGGATCAGAGTCCCCTCAAGAGGCAAGTGGCACTGTCCTCTCTAGGCACCAGGGTACCCGCCACTCATCACAGCTGACTCCCGGGGAAAGCCAGTGGCTGTGGCAGGCAGCTCTGGGTTCCCAGCAAGCCAGCCCTGTCCCCGCGTTTTCCTTGAGGTGCTCTCCAATGCTCCCGCTGAACTCATCTGTAGGTTCATCTGTGGAGCTGTGCCTCTTCCTGCGTGTTTGGCAGCGGGACCTATTGCTTTGGGACTTTGCAATGCAGATGAGATTTGCTATCTTAGAGGGCCTGGCAAACAACTGGACCTCATTAAAATTTAATTTTTGTTTTAAATTGCTGAAAATGCTTCCTTGGAATAAAGTTATCTCTGTGCAGCGTGCGAACGTTTCCAGGTGATGCTAGGCCTGTTCCTTCCGCCCACCCACCTGCCCAGGCACAGGAGCTGGCGAGCACAGACAGAAAACCGAAGCAGGCTCACCTCAGGTTTTATAAGTGTAATGTTATCCTCAGAGAGTCAAAACAAACAGGAGAGGAATAACAAGAAAATTATACAACTGGCCCTCTGACGTGTATGCATGAAAGCAACACAAAACTGGCCACGTTTAATTTTCACCTCTACATTAGAAATTGGCTGTGAGGTATAAACTATACTCCATCAATGTTAATGCATAAGCATATTCGGCCATCCATTAATGTATTTCTGTTGCATTTTTAGAGAAAGTATCCATTAGCAAAGGAATCTAAAAAATATTTTTCTAGCTTTGCTGGGATTAATAGTTCAACAGCTGTTTGCCATCATGCTAAATTAAATGAAATATGTCAATATACTAGACAAGAAAATTAGGGGGAAGTACTGAGGTCTGAGTTGGCATCCTTACAAGCTCAGAGGAATAGGAAATCAACAACTAGAAGAAAAATCTGCATTTGGGGCTTTTTTTTTTTTTTCCAAAGCATATAAACTTCCGTTTCTAAAACTGTATTTGCCATTTTTCAGTCACTTTGATCAAATAAATCAACTATTTACCTGTATGTTTCCTGGCAGTACCAGTACCAGGACTAAAAAACGACCATGTAAACCTTTAAGTTAAAAAAAAAAAAAAAAAAAGATTAAAAGAAATAGATTCCCCTCTGGCCCACTTGCCTTTTAAAAAAATGCTATCACCATACAAATTGCATATTTTTTCTATTTTCCAGTTTCCTGCTAGCTTGAGGTTTACAAGTGAGCAGGATAGGGTAAACAGAAATTGCTGATTTTCCTCTATGTCACTCTCTGTAACCCTGGAGATGCTGTAGAGGCCTAGACCTGCTCCAGGGTCTCAGCACTATGAATTGCAATAGCACCGTTTACCTGAGGGTACCTGGTGACCACATGGTGGCTGCCACCTGGGGTCGGAACCCTAACACTGCCCCAAGCAAAGTCCTCTACATCAAGAGGCCTCCCCTGCAGCGCCCTTACTACTCTCAGGTGTCTGTGTCAGCCTCCGTGGAGGACACATGTGCTGTCCCCAGATCAGCACCATTCAGCATAGGCCCTGCCTGGAACCCGGTCTCAGGTCTGAGCAGAGGTGGCTCGCCCCCTGAGCACTAGCAGCCAGAGTATTTCTCCCATCAGGATTACTTGAAGTAAACTGTATGCATCTAGGTCACTTCCCAGAGTCGGGCAGGCCAGCTCTGGAGGGGGGCCAATGAATTTCATCTCCAGCTGTGGCTAACCCTGGCCTCGGCTAACCACAGTGAGAGGTCTCAGCAGGGGTGAGACCCTGGTCCTCGAAGCGGGCAGCGCGGGCAGTGTGGCAGGCCTCAGGTTCCCATCACCCCCAGGCCTCCAACTAGAGGGCGCAGACTTCACCTGCACAAACGTGTCCCAATGGGCCCAGTTCCAAGAGACGGGTGTCTCTTCAGGGGCGAGTCTTCACTCATCCTGGGCTTACTGGGCAATGATTTCTTAGAGAACAGCAGGGTACGCAACACACATCTGACTAGTGGAAAACTTAAAGCACCTGGGTGACTTGATCTGCCACACCTGAGACCAGAAAATCCACTTAGATCTGGACTCTGGAATGTTTTCCCCGCATCCGAAACTTCAAATAGAGAGTCAGTCGTATGGAAAGAGGGAAGGAGAGAGAGAAGAGGAGGAGAAGAAAGAAATGGGGGAAACAGAGGGTAAGGAGGAAGGATAAACCAGGAAGTCAAGCAGCGATCAATGGCCTGCAGCCCAGGTCTCCCAGCCAGAGGCCACGGACGCACGGGGCCACAGTACACAAGCCACTCTATTTCCTTTTCTTGTCTCCATCAAAAAATGTGCCTGGGGGTTCCACCATTTCCCCAGCTTCCTCCCACTCCTGCTTGGAAGGGTTTGCTTCCTGTTCCTCGCCCTCTGGGACCCTGTACCAACTCACAGGGCCTGACCTTGGGGTCCATTCTAGTAGACGGAGGCCTCAAACAGTAGACCCCAAGTGAGCCACGTGGTACAGGAGCCCCACCAAGCGTACCTGGCACCACTCCGGCTGGCAGCCCCTCGGGAACACTGCGACGCCCCTTCCTCTCTGGGGAAAGGGCTCTGCTCTCGCCTGCACCCAGCTAGAACCCTGGCCGCGGTCATGGGAATACTGTACAGGTATCCTCTCACAGCCTTTAGGAGGTGAATCCCCAAACAATATTTGCTGTTTTGCCTTTGAAGCCCTAACAAAGCCTTTGTTTTAGATTTACCTCCAGTGTGCAATAAGAGTTAATAATCAAATCCATCCCAACCCCCACAAATGTTAAACAGAAAGATAAAAGAAATGCAAATAGCTATTGTCATGGAAAGTTAAAGTACCTGTCTGTATTTTTAAGTGAAAACTATTATCTCTATCAATCAAAATTTAAGAATACAATAGCGCTAATCACAGAAGGCAACTCTGACGAAGTAACTTTCCCCAAAAAAAAAAAGAGTATTTTTCCCTCTTAAAAACCGAGGATAAAAGTCATATACTTACAATTAGATAGCGTATTTGTAATTTTATTATTAAAAACCTTCACCAGCCTCACTGTTAATATGCCTCTAAATCTCTAGACTGACTTGTGCCCAAGAAGACCCAAGTCCCCACATATTTTAATAAGATTGATGAAATTTTATTTAAATTCTCCCAGTTTCCAACCTGCGGGGGAACAGCACACTCTTCTGTTGAAAAGAGTTACTCCGGCGGAGCAGCAGTCGGCTTGGAAGCAGAACTGCAGACCCTGGACCTGGTTCCCACCCCTGGAACATCTTCGGGGGGATGCAGCCTCCCTGAGGGCTCTTGTCCTCTGCCTGGGCCTCTCCTTTTGGAAACAGTGAACGTCTGCCCTCTCCAGGGAGGGAGAAGAGCCAAGCACACCCCAGAATGATCCAGACGTACAGCTCAGGGAATTCTGAGTCTTTTTAAATTCACTTTTCTAAGCTTGCATGAGCCCTGAGTATGGTGGTTTCTAAAGACTGTACCAGAACACAAAATAGCAAGACCCCAGATAGTAAAACAAAGCTCCTGATTAACATTCCTCCAGCAACCAGTGAG